ATTTTTCTAAAATTGCCAAATATTTATTTGTATCCATATTTCCATCAACAAAATGTTTTCCTACTCCTTTTGATGACATACTGCCACAAACCATAATGGATGCTGGAAATTTTACTTTTCTCTTCAGACAGTCAACATGGAATGCTTCATTTTTTTGCGAATAACTCTACTGCGACTGTCACCAACACAGACTTAGAATCGGGCCTCATCACTCCATTGTATTGCACACTATTGTTGAGGTGCCCATTGTCTATATTCTTTAGCCCATCTAAGCCGATATTTCTTTTGCAGTGGAGTTAATAGTGACTTTTCTTTGGCCTATAAACAAGTTGTGCAACTTTAGGGTTTTTACTTCACTTTTTTTTATAAGAAAACTTACCTTGCAAGTGCTGAATCCCAGTTTGTGGGCCTCTCTATGAGTTGTGGACCTCGAAATTCTCCTTCCAACAACAGCGTCACTCCACAGAGCACTTAATTGTAAATAATTGGCATGCCTGTTTTTCACGATTATTCTTCTTGCTTCTTGCTCTTCGGTCGGCATTTGTGATATTACTTTTTTCACATATCGTGGCTTAATATTAACTGAGCCAGTTGCGTTATATCTTCTAACAATATTTCTCACACTGTACCGCGATAAGTCTAACAAAGTTGCAATTTCTGAGTTTGATTTCCCAGAATTAAAAAATTTAATTATCAGTAACCGAATTTTCTCACAATAACCTTTCCTCTACCCATTTTGAAAACCTTAACTACCCAAAACTATTTTAAACGTATTCTGACAGCTGTGATTAATAAAAACAATTGTCATGGCTTTTTTTTTCGCAGCCACCTATGCGTTATAGACTTATTTTGCATTGAAATGAAAATAGGTTGATATGCTGTAATTGCATCATGTGTTATTTTTAGGCTGCAAATTTGATTAGGGAGTGATAAAGTTGGTGTTTTCTACTATATATTATCAAAATATTCATTGTTAATATTTTAAACCTATAACACCCTGGTACATTTTTATTATTTGTGTTTGATAAGAAAAAAACTTATATTTCAATAGTTGGGCCAACTGAAGTGGGAAGGAGCTCGTAGTAGTGACCTTAGTAACCTTGTCAAATTTCCTCAAAATCCGACCGATACTCTTCAAGTTAATAAGCCGAGGATTAGCGAACAGTCAGATCGACTGAATGAGTGGTATGGTTTCTTGTGCTAACATAAAAAAAATAATGTCCCATTTTCGAAATTTGTCGCGATTACAATAATTTCTTACCGTGCGAAGTAAAAGGAAAAGGTTTACAAGAATCGTTGACCACACCAAGTTGGTCACGTTATCCCATAGACAGATAGACTCAAGAATAAGAAACACCCTGATCTCTCTACCTATACAAATATGTATTCATAATCCTAAACACAAGTTCCGGATTCTAATTGGGACCATTTTTGGGTTTAGAATATGGACCCAAATTAAAACTCTTTCTAACGACCTCGACCCCGACAGGCGGGCTAGAAAGTCGTAGGCATTACTTGGAGACTACAACGCTACGTCAGAAACGAAACCCCAGAGACTACAACAAAACTTCAAAAGTGAGATTTTCTCCCAAAATTTTTTTAAGTACCAATTGTGCATCGTGTCCTCGCATTCTGCCATTTAACCTCCGGTAACCTCAAATACTCTTAGCCAGTCTCTCACTATGCCGCCATTACGTTTAACGTCCCGGCGTTGGTTGTGCCGTTATACCAATATGATGCTTCGCTGTAAAGCGCGCTCAGTTATTCGGTTTTCAAACGCAGAAAAGATTCCCCTGCATAAATTTCTCCAAAGGCCAGTCAATTTTCTGGTCTATTCGGGTGGTAGGGCAGTTGCAGAATTTGTCTAGTGGGTACATGAAATTACCGATATCAGAAGCTTCTTAATTATAATTTCACTGATACTACATTAAAACACTTACAACACTCAATACCCAATGTTCACCTCCTACAATTTTTTTTCTGGAAATGATCAGGAGCTCGTTTTATTTTGTCTTTCGTTTTTGCTTGAAGCTCCGTCACTACTGGGTTGATTTTTAAAATCTACAAAGATACTTGGCATAGTAGTAACCTTGATAACCTTGAGTCGAATATTATCAAAATCCGACCGATACTTTTCAAGCTAATAAGCCAAGGATTACCGAACAATCAGTTCGACGGAATGAGTGACATGGTTTATTGTGATAGCATCAAAAAATAATATCCTATTTTCTTGCTGAGGGAAGTAAAAAGAAATAGTTGACAAGTATTGTTGGCCGCACTGAGTGGGCCACGTTATCACGGAGATAGATAGACGCCTCACCACTCAAGAAGAGACAAGAAAAACACCCTGAACTCCCTACCTATGTAAATACGTATTCATAATCCTAAACAACACTTCCGCCTTCTAATTAGGACCATTTTTTGATAAAGTATATATGAACCCAAATTAAAACTCATTCTATTGACCTCAACCCCGGTAAGCTGGCTAGAAAGGGATAGGCATCACTTGGAGACTACAACGCTACGTCAGAAACGAAACCCCAGAGACTACGACGTTGCGAACAAAACCTCAAAAGTGAGATTTTCTCGAAACATTTGTTTACGTACAAATTGTGCATCGTGTCCTCGCATTCTGTCACGTGACGTCCGTTCAACCTCAGACACTCTTGGCCAGTCTCTCGCCACGCCGCCATCACGTTTCACGCCTCTGTTGGCGATGGTTGTGTGGTTATACTAAAATACTGCTTTGCAGAAAAGTTTATTCTGCTGAAAATTATTAGCACCTTGTTGATTTAGGCCAGATCCGAAACCGCCGCCGTTGCCTGATCTCTACCGCTCGACCTCACGTTGCGGAAAGGAGACAGATGCAACTGGACAAGTTTGCTTGGAAATTACTGGATCATCCTCCATACAGCCCTGACTTAATACTATCAGAATTTAATTTTTTCCAAAAGTTAAGGAATTTCTTGGTGGAAGGCACTGGGAAAATGATGACATGTTGAAAGAAACAGTTTCTAACTGATTTAACGGACAAGTGGCACCGTTATTTGACAACGGGATGCAATATCTGAAGTCACGACTTGACAAATGTTTGAATGCTTATATTGACTATGTTGAATAATTCAAAAAAATGTTCATGTTTTAGTTTGTGATACAATTTGCATTCATAAATAAAGTTCATTACAAAGAGCTTCTTTCTCGAAGAATTACTCTCGTGCACATATAAGTATGTATCCGTAACTGACAGAGTGTCCACGTGCCAAAGCTGTCGAGAAAATGAAAAATTCCTTAAAATGCAGAAGACAGCTGGCGACAGAAGATATGGTAGGGTTGTGTGTGCCTCTTAAGCTTTAAATATCGGCAGGAGGCAAAGTTTTCCTGGGGCTGTGCTGTATTAAATTACTAACTTTTTTCTGATTCATCCTTGAGAAAAACAGCCCTGGAAAACACGTCACACATTTTTACAATGTCAGTGATGGAAAACCTACCAAACGTACCTGATTTTTAACAGGCGTCAGTCCCTGGTAGTACCCTTTACTGTCAGCAATTTAGAAAATTTGAAGAGTGATGAAGCGCTTATGCTTAAGCATCACTTCTGAAAACATTTATGTATGGAATTCGACCCCGCTCACATGTCCATAACGGGCATGTTCACAGCGATCGATTCGTTGAACCCAATTTTCAATGACTCGGCCACTCATTTCGACAGAAACGGCCGCTATCTCTCATTTAATATTGGCTCTGAGCTTTTCTCACGAGGCCGGCTTGTTGGCGTAGACCAATGAATTAATGTAGACCCACAAAAAAGTCTAGAGGTGTTAAATCACACGGTCTAGGTGGCCATTCGACAGGACTATTTCTCGATATAGCACGTGCACTGAATTTTGATTTCAATATGTCGATTGTATCACCCGCTGTGTGTCTTGTGGCGCCGTCTTGTTGAAACCACATATCATTAATGTCTAGACAATCCAATTGACCAAAAAAATAACCTTGCAACATGTCTCTGTAGCGATCTCTGTTGACTGTAACGTGACGGTCACTCATCAACGAAAAAAACGGCCCAATGACACCACCGACATGAAAACCACACCAAACAGTTTTTTGTGGATGAAGCGGTGTTTCTTGAAGCACATGAGGGTTTTCACCTGACCAATAATGCATATTCTGTTTGTTGACAAAGCCGTTCAGCCAAAAATGCGCCTCATCACTGAAGATGATTTTGCCATGAAATTGGTCATTTTCTTGCAACAATTCTATAGCCCAATTCGAGAACGTACGTCGGTTCGTATGATCGAACGGTTTTAGTTCTTATAAGAGTGCAGGCCAAGACCTCTTCGCAAAACTCGCCATAGTGCGGTCTGAGCGATGCCCAATTCTTGAGAACGTCGTAGAATCGGCATGTTCTGTTCGTTTGCAACGGAAACTTGAACGGCAGCAATATTCTGGGCACTTCGACCAACCGGATGTCTCACTGACACGGGAACATCCAGCAGCGAATATGTGGACTCAATTTTTTATACTAGACTATGAATTGCTTGTCTACTGGACCGAGAATTACGACTAAAAATTGGCCTTAATGCTCTTAAAGTTGCAGTCATCGACTCGGAATTTCGGTAATAAATTTTAATTATTTGTAAGCGCTTTACCATGATGACAATGTTTTGTCTACTGAATGTTTTAAAATTGACAGTTCGGTAATTGATTTAAAGGTGCGTTCACAGTAAAAGTTCAAAGTTGTCAAGTCCGTATTGGCTAACCCGATAATTTGGTTGTATCACATTATTGGAATTGCTACCAACGTTAGCACCTGTTTTGAGGCTTCGACAATTGATTGATATGGCTCATTTATCGGTAAAACACTATTTTGAAATACTCCTCTAGGGTTTTGGTTTTCAAATTGTAATTGAAAGTCTACTACCCATTGTGAAAGTTGTGCTTTTTGAGCCGAGATGGACCTGCATGAAGAAGTGTTTGGGTGTCATTGGGATAACAGATCATATTAGTAAAGACATATCTTTATTTGCAATGTCACTGTATGTACATATTATGAATTTGTATAATGCAATTTCTTCTCATAGTTCCTAAAGTTTCTTGTCGACTTCAATACCTATATCCTCCAGAAGCTGTGTTAAGGGCAGATCTGTATGGTTCGCTTCTGTATTCACTTCCACCATATTGGCTTTCCCTGTGACAAACAAAAAAAAAAAATAGATGAAATTTTGCCCAAAATTCTTTGTGTCATAGGTTGTACGCAAGTAAGTGAGAAATCTGACGATCGCCACCTCTGGCTTATCAAGCTGATTTCATCATCAATCCATTGGGGCCTCGGTTGGCCGCGTTGGTCAGAGTGTCGTGCTACTGATCAGCCGGCCGGCCGGGCCGCGAGTTCGAATCTCGCCTTCGCCATGGATGTTGTGACGTCGTGTGTTTGTCGTCCATAATTATAGAAATATATAAAATATCCAACCTAGTTTCTGGCTGCATGGCCTAGTCCTAAAGCCAAAAAAAAAAAAAAAAAAAAAAAAAAAAAAAAAAAAAAAAAAATCATCAATCCATAACGTTGGAAATCACAAAAAGACTCCCACGCCTTCGGGGTCATTACTGTTGCCGTCTGCACTTTGTGCAGATAGATGTCGCTCCACCATCACGGTCGACTCGTCAAGTAGGCGGAATACAAAGTCGAACGGTTATAAGCTAAGAAACGTTGGGGCCTTTCTGTCAGTTTCAATATTATGGGATGAGGATGAAATTAGTTTGAGGTCAATTCTTAATCTACTTGCACACAGTATTTTGAGTTTTTCAACATTTGTTTGCTTTTCGTTCGTCTATCTCAAGACTATACCTCTACCGCATCGCTAAGTTGGTTGTGGTTACAGAGGTGGAAAGCAAAGATATTTAGTTCAACTTAAGGAAATGAGTTGGTTTACCAATCCTAGAAAATGAAGGGGATATAATGCATGCATTAGTATTCACTTATAATTTGGAAGGAGTCAAGAATCAGTTTCTGGGGATATTAAATTCCTGAAAAATCAACCTAAATGCTATATTATTTTAGAGACTCATACCTATAAGATCCATCATCTACTAGTCCTCTAGCTTCATCAGCTAAGTTCTGAGCAATGGCCTTCCTGATTTCTTCTGGGATTGGTGGTGGGGTGGGGATGTGAGACCCTTGGGCAACGAATCCATTTTCATCAGCGGTGTAAGAAAGATGGACCTGCTGGCCATCTGGAAGAGTGAAGCTGTATCCACCTTGGGCTCTGGTGCCTGCTTCTCCTCTAGCGTCCCCTAGAATTATTTTTTGTGAATTTTGAGGTTAAGAGTGCTAACACTTTAAATAAATGAATGAGGTTTTCGTCCTCTAACACATGGCAGGCCCCTGCTTTATTGGATCTTGCAATGACAATTCAAGTGCATTTTGATTCAAATTTTTTTATGTAGAACTCCAAAATTAAGTTTGGTCAATCAAATTCGGGTAAAAAATGATAGACTTATTAGTCTAGACAGACACGTTATCTGTAGTAAAATTCTCAGAACAATAATTGATGCCACATGGTATGTGTCAAACGGTACCATCCAACTGAGCTATCATCAAGTGGAACCACATAGCAACCTTTGCTTGTGCCAAGCAGTGAGTGAATCAGTCGAGCAAGTACGCGAACATTCCAGGTCATGACGTGTACTGCAAACGAAATTGATGCATACCTAGACCATCCCACATATTAACAAATAGAGAAGTTACGTTTTCTTATCTATAGTTGTAAGATAAATCAAATCGTTCAAAGATCAAGCAAAAAGCATAAATCCTGTATCTGAGTAGTAGGTTATTTGGGGTAAATCTTTGACACCTTTCATAAATTTTCCAATTTCAATATTCCACGTTCTGTTATAAAACTTTTATTTAAACAGGAATTGTCTTGCATAATACATGAATGAACAAAAACAGCATCTATTGTGAGGTAACTTGCTTTTATGTAGAAGACTTGACATACGCATATTACACATTGCTTTCTTTTGAATTTAAACAAATTCGATTTTCTCTAATGCTGTCTAAAACATACACAATTATATTCTGCTGATATAACTAACACAGGTAGCGGAAAAAGCCAAATTAAACGTCGTCGAGGCGTCAAATCTCAACTATGTGAAAACTAATGTTTGGATACTCTCTTCTTTTTCTGACCTGATGTAGACAATCTATTAATAGATTTCTCCTTGCAATGGTGCGCATTATTGTTACAATTTCGAAGCTCATGCAGTTTGTTATTTGTATTGATTAAGACTATACTTCTTTTTTATCATCTATTACACAGAAACAAAAGAAAAACATGGCGATCTTTTTTATGCGATTGATTTTTGGTCACGATGCAATTGTCAAATTTTTTTCAGCCGCATTACGAATTGTTTGTGTGCACTTGAAAAAACGCTGCATAGCTTTCACGCAAATTGCTGCATGTGGAGACATGCAATATCAGTCATATTTTCTTAATAGCAACCGATTGGAACTATTCACTTCGCGGTACTAAAATAGTACGGGCGATGAAGATTGAATTTATCGTCTAAGCAAAAAAAGTGACTAAGGAGGATTCATCGAATATACACACATTGGAGCAAGCATGGAGGCTGAGCTTAAACACAGAGGTACCGCAAGTGTTATTTTGTTGATCCGATTTTTACACTCTCTAAGGTTGGTATAACTTGAACTTCTGGAAGATTACCTCACGTTTCGACGTCCTAGGAAAAAACGGAACAGTCTGAGCTTTGATCACAGTAAGGAGGTTAGATCTCGAAATGCCTAAATAGATATCCCAGATCGTTTTCAGAAGCCCATGCGATTTAGGAGATGTCAGCACCAAATCAGGTAATTGGTAATTAGAGCAAGCCAGAAGGAGTGACTTCCTGGTAAGAATCTAACAACTTTTAAAATCAGATATGTGTTTGGAGTTGTTTGAGTTCACATTCTTTGACATCCATAATCCAAGGAGAGTCAAATTACAATAGGAGAGATCCGAAAAATTGTGCACCTTAAGCTTTTTACTATTATTACAAAAACGTTAAATAACATAGAATTGAGGAAAACACCTAAAATGGTTATTTATCCGTCAGTCTCCAGATAATTTGTAGTTAGTTCTTGACGACAAGAACAGAGATAACAAAAAACTTGACTATTTCCTCAAGAATAGCATATATACTGAACAGAACAACCATCAATGCTTCCAAATTCTAAAGACTCATCATGACAGTGATAGTAAGACATTACGGTATTACAGTGGTTGTTTCAATCAATTCGCAGTTTTGCACAGATTGAATTGGTGTTTTCCAGTCAGTATCCTTGATTTGTGTTTTTTCATGTATACATGTATATACCAACAGCAGCAAGATATCGGTACTTAGTTCACTACCCGTCACTTATTTATGAACTTCCTAGTTTTCTAGTAACACTTTTTATTCAATCCTCACTTGTGAAAGTTCATTAAATATATGTTAGATACGTGGAACAGCGTTTGCATAGATCGTCTGAATTCCAAGCACAGCACCAATATTGCAAAATCAATCTTTTTGTTGACAAAAGAAGTTTTGTTGTTTGACAGGCAAATAAAAACCTTGATTCTCCTACAACTAATTGCCGATTTTATTGGTAAGGTCGGTGGAAGATTTATTTTCGCGATAGTCGATTTATAGTTGATGTTTAAAGGGAAGCTCGCTTTGCTCGAGCCGTTCGCTTTGACCAGGTATACTGATGGCAAGGAGCGTCCTTTCTGCCATCTAGGCAGAAATCAGTCAAGTCCGTTTGCGTATCTATCAGATGTTCTGGTTCATAGAACGATAAAATGATTCGACCTTTGCTATCACAAAATAGCTTAATTTTGATGCAGCTTTTTGCCTATTAACCATCTAGAAAGGCGCTTTTTGGCTAGCCGAGTGTTGAGTGCGACGAACTGCTAATTCAGAGTTTTGGATGCTTGCGGGTTTGAATCTCCACCTCGAACTTTAATTCCGAGCCATGGATGGTGTGTTTGTCTATATCTGACGCACCAGATTAGTGCAAAATCAACAGGTACATCGCATCGCTGGATGTTGTCGACTGGTCTGGCTTTAGTTTCATACTGTCAGTAGCTATTCAACAATTGAAAGCATTTAGTTCGGTGATGCATCTTTTATTTCCAATATATTGTCCTGTGAAACCTTAAGCTTGACTGTTTTTCTCATATACACAGCGAATAGCCTACATAACATCATCAGGGCATAAGGCACCATGTTTGTTAGCCCTAGCACGTATAAAATATCGATGAAAAATAGCGCGATAAAGATAAGTACCTCCAGAAAAACCCGGTCAGGTTTCTTTTAACAGGTTTGTACAACAAAAATCTCGATCTGGTCTCGTGGCCAAAGACGTTATCCTATATTCCCCAGAGGTTTTACATCAATGTAGTCAGCGACAATCAAAAGTACGCTAATGTTGGCCAAACAGGTTAAAAATCACTTTAAGATAAAGTAATATCAAAACACTCTTCAGGTCGAGTCTTGTAGAGCGAGACTTGAACTTTGATTCAGACACTTGGCGACCTCAAAAATTGTTATTTCTTACTCAGTTTTTAAATATTGGATATACGCATTTTTAGGGTTTTTCATACATAAAATCATTTATAACTAAAATATGGTCAACTTGGAACAAAAGGAGTCCTTTTTTGTTCAGAATGATCTAAACCAACTTAAAAGCATTTCTCTGGCCAAAAAATTGTAGTTTATTTAAAGGAACTTGTTTAAACAAATTTGACCTGGGCTGCGGTGCGGTATATTCGATGTTTAAAATCTCGGTTAAGAATTATAACTTTTAGGGTCGCTGAGTATTTAAATTGAGACTTGAACGTTGCTCTACAAGGCCTTGAAGAGAGCTGATTTTAAACCGCCTAGCAGATTGTTGCTATGCGACTTTGCTTGACTATAACATAGCTACGCTTTCCTACAATAACTTTGTAGTTTACAAATATAGATACCTTGCCTGTACTATTGTATTTAACACGGACGTCAGGAATATTCACCTAAGATAAACCGACATGTAGGAATGCACTTAAGCGATTCTATGAAACATTGCAGTAGATGCAATAAGGTCTGTTTTGAAACGAATGCATCAATTTTATGCAAGGTTACTATTGAGAAAAACTATCTACTTCTACTCATTTGCTACCGGTTGCACATTTAACGGAACGTGTTATAAGTTGGACATTGGAATTAAAAATAAAAAATTGTCGATTAATTGACCTAGTTCACGTTGGCAAGTAGAGCAGTTATCAAAAGTGTTTATCTAAGGATTGTGTCACGTGTAAAAAATACGGGTTCCTACCTATTTACATTTAGGTTACTTTGGTAACGTTTAAATGAAAATTATAAAGCAACGGCGATGTTTTGAAGCTTTGGCAATCTAACCAATCATAAAATGTATTTCATTGCACATTCGCAAAACATTCCTCATTGTACTAAGTATTATTTTTTTAAATTTGATATCCGAATTTTGTGTGTAAAAATAAGAAACATTTCTTCAACTTTGGTTTTCCAGTAAAAAACTTTTTTCAGAATACTGATGCATCATCACTGATACCCGGGACAAAAATTATTTAATTTCTAATTGACATTATCCTATGCAAGCCAACTCAAAAAGGCGGCTGTCAGGAGTTTAACATTTTTTTCAATCGGAAGCCTTGTCTGTCGAGATGGATCTTAGCTATTTATGTTCGAAGATAGTCGGCTCAGTTGTTTAAATGCTATGCAACCAAATATAGCTGACTGTGGTACCAGGTGAAGGGGTTTAATTTGTTTTAATTACTAAATCGGTCTTTTAATGAAAACCGATCAAATCGCTCATACTGATGGACCGGTTTGACTGTGACTTTTTTAGTCTACTAGGTCTGTAAATTAAGTGATGAGACTGGCAAAGTAGCGTTCGATCCGGCAACACTGGAGGCACCGGACTTGGCTGTTGGCCTGTTGTAAATGTTCGTAACTAACTTTTTTCCCGGAGGAACTAACTTGTGCTGAACGTAAGTCTCTTTGAACTGCAGACGGAATTGCTCGCTGCAGGGTCAACCTTTTTGTGACAAAAGGGGAAATTTAGTGTATTTATTTTGACAAACCTTGTTCCTCAGCGCTGATGCCATTAGCAGTTTCATAAGCGTAGTGGTAGCTGCCATCTCCCTCATTTTGTAAGTTCATCCTGACAATAGGTACTGGTGGTCCAACAGATACCGCATTGTACGCTGCAGGCGCGACATAGTTGCTTCCAAAGCCTCCTCCAAAGCCAGCACCAGCTCCAAAGCCTGCTCCAGCTCCTGCTCCAGCTCCAAAACCTGCCCCGTTCCCAAAACTGGCTCCTGTACCGATAGCAGCTGTTCTCTGGAAAGGTGGCAGGTAGGAGTTACCCAGATGACCGCACGACGCGAATCCGAAAAGTGTCAGAGCTAGCAGGGCCTGTGGAAAAAAAATGAAGTCAACGCGGTTCATTGTTGGTCACCCTAGATCACGGATGCCGGAATTAATGATAGCATAATTAAATTGGTCATTTCAGGAACTACCTAAGTCACATTTTGTACTCAAAGGCTCTTGCACCGTTTCTCCTGTTATTTATA